AATTAATAATTTAAAGACAAATGACTTTGATTCAATTTAGCTAAAGTTATGATCATGTTTTAACAAACGACTGTGTACAATGTTTTGTATATGGTAAAGGTAAAACTATACAATTTTATTTAAACATTTAACGGTTTATGAAAGATATTTGACTATATATAGTGTTAAAATAATGAACAATTCACCCATCAAAACCAATTATAAGTTTAATAACATTCATTTTTTATTAAATTTATTTTTAAAAAAAACTCTCATAAATAGCTTATAAAACTTCTACATAATCTTTTTTTATACAATAATGTCATTTATTATTTACTAAAAGTAGATATGCTTTTGCGAAATCCAGTTCAACAGTTCAATGTAAAAAAGCATTGTTCAACAATTATTGTATTACTCTTAATAATTAATTGAATAATAATATTTAATTAATTTAATCAACGATAATATAATACTTTTAATACAAAACATTTGATTCTAATTTTGACTTTTTTTTAATAAAAAAAGTTATTCAAAATATAATAAAAATACTATATTTTTTGTTATTTTTAACTATATGATTACTATATTATTTCGCATTTTTAAAATTGTTTTATTGCGTGACGTATTGGTTGACTCATTTTTAAAAAAAGTGTATACAAAAATTTAATGGGTGCCAGATTTATTTTAAGAAATAACATAAGTTTGGCATCAAATTTCATAGCAAATATGTTTAAGAAAAAAAACAAATAAAAACTAAAACCAAATATTTTAACAGCAATAATTATTCTGTTTTTTTGGCATTGGATAATTTTATGGCACCCATTTAATACTCGATCTGTAACTAACTAACTCACTAAAATATGCATTACTGAATGCGAAATATTATAACTACAATATTTCAATTATTACTAGGTTTATAATAATTAATAATAGTTAAAATTAACTATACAATATTTGCATTAAAAAAAACACTTTTAAATAAAATTATCAACATTTTCACAACATTTTTACAACGTTTTTTGGATTTTTTATTAAAATAATTGTTGCGACAAAAAGTTTAAAAATATGCCATGTATTAATTATAATTTTAATTTAATTAATATATAACTATGAATATATCAATTCTCTTAATTTAAAAAACTTTAAAGACATAATTTGTATTGATTGTAAAATGGGACTGTTTGGTGTTACAAATTATTGGATTTTTAACTTCCTTCGCACTATTTAAACATAAAAACTATACCTTTTTAATAAATGATATCTTCAACGAAGCAATCAATTCATTTGACCTTAACTCCTGAAGCTGAGACCGTTTTTTCTTCATCCTTTTCATGTGAAACGGACATGAAAAGACAGAAAGAAGATATTTCTGTCCAGTTAATTTATCGCCAAAGTGGCTCACTCACTGCAAGAACACATTATTCACCAGAAAAAACACCTTCGTTGGCATTAAAAAACCTTTCTCCGTTCATTCAAATATCACCCAGAAAAACACCAACACCAAATGCCGTGAAAAAGAGTCCAGAAGAAGCAATGAGGAGAATGTTATTCAATTTTCCTTCAAATTTACTTACCGCTTATTGTCAAATCGTTTGTCATTGCGTTAAAATTATATAGTTTATATATAGTATTTTTTCTATGATTTATTATTAAGCATTTATACTATTTTTTTCAATGTTTTGAATTTTTTAAAAATTGTTTGTTTAGGTACCTTGTAAATGATTTGTGTTTTTAATAATAAAATAATTATTTGTGATAAACAAATTGAATAATTCATTTTTGAATAATTATAATTATTTTTATTTATAATTTAATTATAAATTAATTAATAACGAAATAGTTTGTGAAACAAGACGAGAGTAATCCGTTCTATATCAAATCACTTCTTCAGTTTTATTCATCGCGAGGAAAACTGACTGATCTTTTGATTTATTTAGCACAAGAAGAAATTGAAAAAACAAATCAGCATAATATGTTATTTAGAGGAAACACCAGTTTTACTCGAATATTCACACAATATTTGAACCGGTACTGTTCGTCTTTTTTGAATAACACATCAATTCAAGTCGTTCAAATTCTTTTAAAAAAGAACACTAAAAACGAAGAAGAAAATGAACTACAAAATGCTTTAAAAAATACAAATGATGATCTTGTATTTAACAATGACTTCTTTGACACTTTAAATCTTTTCACAAGCATTTTGGAGTCACAGAAAAATACCTTCCCGTCACACTTACAAGAGATTTTGAGAAATGTTTATTATAAAGTCAAAGACAAAAGAGACGAGAAACAAGCGATAAATGCGGTCACCACTTTACTCTTTTTAAGATTCATATTAACACCATTTACTTCTACTCCAGTCATCTTAAAAGAAACACAGAAATTGATTGGAGAAATTGGAACCATAACTTTACCATTCAACAAAAACCCACTGACAAACAGACAGACAACCCACTTTAAATTGTATGTTGAGTCTTATATCAATACCATTCTCTTTGGACCAACTAATTACGCTCTCTCACATCGCGGATTTAACGCACTTGAACAGGAAAACTCTTTAATTGCTATAATCAACATTATCAGACAAGAAATGAGAACCTTTTCGATGATCTATAAAGGCGATTTCGATGATGTCTTTAGTGTAATCAAAGGAAAGACAGACGCTTTAGTGAATTGCAGCATCTCTTATTCAACCGCTGAATTCGTCAAATGGATGGACGACCGTGAAAAATTGATATACAAAGAAAATGATCTCCTCAAAAGGAACATCGAGACACTCAAAGCCAATATCTGTTACCTCAAATCAAAGATCGAGTCCGCGGAAACTGTTTCTATTTATTCATTGTGATTGTTTGTTAGAAGTTAAATCGCTGTTTTTTCAATCAATTCAATTTAGTCAGTTTGAGCCTCTCTTCTCTTCTTAAGCTCTTCAAGACACTTCTGAGCCTTTCCCTTCAACACAGAGAGCGCTTCTTCAAATATTTCTTTTGCTTGGTAAATACCAACACTTTCGACGGTGACTAGATATTAGTATATTATTAATAGTAGATAGTATTATTAAAATATAATATAATAATAATATAATAATAATATAATAATAATATAATAATATAATTTAGTAATATTTTATAGTTAAATATAAAAATATTATAATAATTAATGATATAATAATAATAATTTATAGTTATATATAGTTATATACATTTGAACTAATATATATAATATATTTACTATGAATAAAAGTTATAGAAGAACAAACAGATGAAATGACTGTCTTCTCGACCCAACTTGACGAATTCTTGTCTTTGATCTCTGATACACTCTCTGCACATCTTACAATTACGAGGGTTCTTAACGACAAGTTCGTTATCTTCGATGTCATAGACATTAAGTGGGCAACACTCTTTGATTTCTTTAGCCATTTTACCGACTGCGGTGACCTCAATTTTTGGCATCATACGATAAGCCGCAGTGCAGACAGGGGAGAATTTTGCGTGGTCTTGACCGAGACCTTTGCAGCAGTACAATTTGCATTTAATTTGTTGACCTTGAGCGAGTTCAGCAATTAAGATGTCACCGAGAACGACACGGATTGGGTCCTTTTGAAAAGTAGTTTCTTGGTCGCCTTGTGGTTCCCAAATGATATCGGACGAGTACACGTTTTTGTGGACTGCTGTTTTGTCTTTTGTGTTGTTTATGACGTCCATGTGGAAGACAAGTGTGTTTTCTTCTGTTGGTTCCAAGAACGCTCGATTTGGAGCAAATTGGAATTTGCGTGGGTCCGCATAGATGGGAATAAGACCAAGGCGGTGCGCCAACATTTCATCGGGAATACACGACGTGTTGACTTCCATCACTACCATTTCAATCGCCATAGTCGGGACTTCAGATAACATAATTCGACGAAGACTATTTGCTACTGAAACGTCGACATTTGTTAAGTCAAATACTACTTTCTCTGGAGTAGTACTAATAAATTCAATATGCGGTTCACACTCCATAGGGTTTTCTCTATTTTTTTCAAAGATGTGGGTTGTCTTTTTTTTTATTTTTATGTTTTCAAATCCAAAGAAAAAAATTTTACTTCGTTTGTTTTAACATTTCCAAAATTGTTTTGTTGTATTTAAACTATTTTTAATTATTTAATGGTATTAGTATGGTTTTTTTATTAACTAGTTCTTTTAACTAGTTCTTTTTATTATTGAAGTTATTGAATAATAATTTTATTATTTTATTATTACAAATGAATGTAATCAAAAAGTATGAGTAATTATAGTTTTTTAATTAAAAATATAGTATATTTGTATAGTACTAGAAGTATTAGATTAGTATTAGTATTAAAAAACCATGAAAAAACGACTGAATTACTGTGATAACTTGTCATATCCCTTTCCAGACTTGTTAAGGTTTGCGCCGACCAAGTAAATGAGCACAACACCCAAACTGAGTGCGACGAAAAATGCATATCCGATGATTGTGTTTTGGAGTGACGCACCCTCAATATGCTTTGTTGCGACTTTACAAGTCAACCCAGTAGTTGCTCCGATCGATGAAGCACAAGGAGGCATTGGTCGTTTCGTCACCCACCCACAGCAGTCGAACTTGGTGTCATTGTATTATTTAATAACTATAGTTTCATATTAATTAAAACAATTAACTAATAACTCTAGTTAAAAATTATTACATAATAGTAATGAGCATTAAACTATTTATAACTATAAAGTATTAGATATGGAACAAACCATGTCTTCCCAATGGGACAGTGTTTTTAAGGTGTTA